TATTGTGTGTTTCATCAGTGCTATACTTCACCCTAGTTGACCCATCCTTCTTGTGACCCTTCTGTGAGGGGATGTCCCTATGTCTACAGATGCTCCGACCCCCCTCGTTCTCCATACCTGTGTTTGTGAGGGACGCTGGCCCACAGTTTTCTGATTTTAATATCCTTGTCAGGTGTGGGCATTAGGTGGATGCTGGCCACATAAAGAGAATTAAGAACCACTTTTCCTGTTACTTATGGACTGAGGAGTCTGTCAGTGTGATGTGCTTCTACTCGGGCGGACTTGTCTAACTTTTTGCCAGGCAACAGCATCGCCAGACTTTCTTCACCAGCACCACTCAGTGCCACTCTCCTGTTGTCCTGTCTCATCTGCCGACTCTCACACGCAGAGATATGGTGACCACAAACGGCTCTGGCTCCAGTCCGATGCACTTGAGCCGTGAAAGAGACCTGGTATGTGAGGATGCCTTTCTTCCAAACTGAAAGTTCCCTGCCCATACCTTGCACCTTCTAGTTTTGCCTCGTGATCGTTTCAGAGTTAACTTAGGGTTTGCAGTCCCTCCTCGGAGTCTATTTCTGATGGGTGTTGTTTCTGCTGAATTTCTTTCCAGGTTGTCTTTTCTCCCGAAGTGCCCAGTTAGTCTTGATTTACGTTGTAGACATTGTTCTTGAAAACGTTCATAGGAAGGACTTGAAACCTTGCTTTCTCAAGAAGCAGGCAGTTGGAGATGGCGGTCCTTCTGAGGATGAGCAGACTAAATGGGTGAAGGTTAAGGAGGGGGACAGTCCAGAAAGAAACTGGCCCATCGCTGAGAATTCCAAAGTCCTCCTCCAGGGAGGATCTGGGGTTGAGTCTCCCAAGCACCTGGAGGGAGTTCCAGTCAGGAAAACATCAGAACAGTTTCTGGAACTGGAGTGATTTAAGGTGGAGCTGCAGTCCCTATGAGAATCTGTCTCCTTAATGACTTACGTATTCCTAAGGAGCGGACCTTCTAGGTCTCAACCCAAAGCCAAGGGCATTCATCAGAGCTTTCCTGGGACTCCAGCCCCTGTCTCCTGAGCCTCACAACTCTATGACTGGACTGCTGATGCCCCCAGACTCTCAGAGAACAGAAGCCCTCAGTGCTGGGCTCATTCCTCAAGTTTCCCGCATGCCCTCATTCTAGCTGCTAATCCATCGCTGTGGCATTGGATAGACGGCCTTCAAACACATCAAAGCAACAACAGCAACAAAACTCACTGCCGTCAAGTCAATTCCCCGTGGTTTCCGAGCTCTGACTCTTTACAGGAGCAGAAAGCCTCCTCTTTCTCCCACGGAGCAGCTGGTGATTTCAAACTGCCGACCTTGTGGTTGGCAGCCCAGGACATGACCACTGTGGCATGAGGGCCCCTGCACACAGATGGGTGCTTCCTATATTCTCCCCAGCCTTTCTGGCCATTTCTAAGAGTCAGGGCCCAGTCCATATTACTTAGCATTAGTGAAAGTGGAAGTCCTCAGAGAGACCCCATTTTCTTTTTGAACAGCCCCCTCAGCTTTCAGTTGCTGGTCCCATTTCCCTCTGCATCCCTCTGCTGCTGAACTCCCTGGGAGTGCTGTGCGCACGCTGTCCCTGAGTGTGCTGTGCGCACTGCCTGTAGTTCCTCTCTTTTTGTTCCTCCTCACGAAGGCCTTGTCGGCTCCCTGCACCTCAGCCCGGGATCTCTCATCCAGGTCATTGGTGATGTCAGTGATAGCAACCCTGGGGTGATCCGTGTGGGGCTGTCATTGTGTGAGGCCGGGTTGACCTGAGAAAAAATCCAGCAACACTCCTACGTATGTCAGAGTTTAAATCAAGAAGTAATCATGCATCGATAAAACAGCCCAGTCCAGCTCAAGTCCTTCGGTTCGATATTGGCCCATGGAGTCCTCTTCAGACTCACACGGCTCATGCACTGATGCAGAGTGCGGGAAGGGCACAGGCCGGCGGGTGGGAAGTCCCATGGATCCAATGGCTCTGGCTGCCATCAGCGTGGCTCCACATGGCTCGTCAGCAGGAATGTGAAGCAGAGAAAGAGACAGAGAGTATCCCGCCTCCAGATCAGAAGAGAGGAAGTTCCCGGAATCCTCGTGAGAAGGCCATGCCCACATGCTCCCATGTAGGCCTTGCTGGCACGACGGGCCTCACTATCACAGTCACTGTGTCTGGAGCTGGAGGCACATCTCATGAGGGAAATTAGCCACAGTGATCGGTGCAGGGCTTCCTCCGCATCCTCCCTCCTGCTTTATCCTCTCTCTGTAGCCGGCTTAGAGTACTTCCTGTCTTGCTGCTCTTTCCCATCAGGAGGTAGACTACCAGAGGGCAGAGGGCTTTGTCTGTGTTGCTCAGCGATGTATCCCTCCATTTAGAAAGCGTCAGGCCCAGGCTGGCAGTCCGGGTACTGATTAAGCAATGGCACTTTCTGGTGTGCACGTAGAGGCCAGCTCTGTTTTATCGGCCTCTCTGGGCCCTGCTGCTTCTACACCCATGCTGGTGACTGGCCTGGTCAAGGTGTTGAGGACAGAACCTTCTGGTGTTTTCTGGAAGCCCTGGTCGGAATGTCCACTCGTCAACTCACTGTCAGTGATGTTGGTGTTGTGGGAGTTGTTTTCTGTCGTGGTCGCCTTGCCTGGCCCTCACAGCAGAGGGTGAGGAAGGTCGGCCAGGTGCCACTGGAGAAGTGAGGGGTTCCCCGAGGGCACAGAGCAACAGAAATGCAGACCTCTGACTCAAGCCCCCCATGAATAAAGCTTTTTTACCCCTCCTGCTCAGATTGTAAAGAGAAAGAATGATCACTGAACAGAATCTGGACGCTTCAGAAATGGATTAAAAAAAAGAAATAAATTGATTAAAAACTAAAGAGCCTAAAAAACCAAAAAAATTTAAACAGCTTTCAAAGGATTTATGATGGTGGGAGTTGGCACATTTTGATATATTTCATTCTGATTTTTTCTCTGCACTTGAAATACATACAGACGCACACACACAGGCATACACACATTTACACACACATATGCACACATAGGCATATACACATATACACATACACACATTCACGCACATGCACACACACACATACGCATACAGAGAGCAATTCTCAACCTGCGGGTCGTGACCCCTTTGGGGGTGGAATGACCCTTTCACAGGGGTCACCTGATTCATCACAACAGCAAAATGACAGTGATGAAGTAGCAACGAAAATAATGTTATGGTTGAGAGGTCCCCACCACATGAGGAACTGTATTGAAGGGTCTGGCATGTGGATGGTTGAGCACCGCTGCACACAGGCTTTGGATCACACACACTTTGGATCACATTGTATCATGTACATTGAAACCTTGATTCTTTAAAAAAAATTTTTTTTATCGTAACATTATAAAGTAAACCTTTGCCTGTCCTTTTGCAGTCTCGGCAGCTGCATGGGGCTCTACCCCACAGATAGAGCAGCGTCTGTTTCTCATCCTGAGTTTGACGTTCAGATGGAATAACATTCACTAAGTCCTGACTCAGCATCTGTGCTGTCTGCCCGTTGCAGTGGGTCCTGGGCAGAAAGGCCTGGAGATGTGCTTCCTTCACCTCCTACCCACAGATGCCAAGTTGGCACCGACTCCTGGGGGCCCCATAGGACAGGGCAGAACCACCCCTGGGTTTCTGAGATGGCAGCTCCTTATGGGAGGAGAGCGCCTCCTCTTTTCCCCTTTGTGGAAGCGGGCTGCCATGCAGCAGCTGTGGGTGCAAAGCACCAACTTTTCAGTGAGCAGCCACATGCTGAGACACGGGGCCGCCAGGGGCCTTTTCTGTGGGATTCCAGACTCAGAGACCCTAAACCCCATGGGCCATTCTTCTCGCTCATGCCGGTCCTCAGGGGCAGAATCTGCCTGGATGTCACTCAACAGCTAGAGGTCGAGGACCAAAGCTGGGCTCTCAGATGAGACCGTCCAGTGAGTGTCTATGCCATGGCCTAGAGGCCACGGTAAATCACCACTGATGCCACCGGCAAACCAAACAGAAAGCATGAAGGAGGGGAACTGTTTCCCAGTGAAAAGGAGCCCCGGCCCTCCTGGGCTTGCCTGTGTGTGTAGGTGGGCTGTGGGGTCGAGGAGCAGGTCCTTTGCCGGAGCCTGTGATCAGGTGCCTGCCTCCTGCAGCGGGGAGGGCGAAGGGCCCCTCCTGCCTCACTCCCACTGTGTCCCGGCCCAGGCTCTTCCAGCTGGAGACGGAGGCCGACGCCCTGGTGAACTTCCAGCATTATTCCGCCCAGCTGCAGCCCTTCTACGAGAGCTCGCCCCACGTCCTGCAGACGGAGGTCCTGCAGCAGCTGACCGACCTCATCCGCAACCACCCCAGCTGGTCGGTGGCCCACATGGCCGTGGAGCTGGGCATCCGAGAGTGCTTCCGCCACAGCCGAGTCATCAGGTGGGCAGGCGGGGGAGTGGGG